ATAAGAAAGGGCAAGGCAGAGCTGGGAAAATGAATAAAAATTGAGGAAATGATTGAGGGGGAAAGGCAGTCACCCCTCTGAAGTGCTGATGTCTGCATTTATCATGTGGTGAGGAGGAGGCTTTTCTCTCTCCCCAGCCAGTGATTTCATCCTGCCTAGGCTTAATTGTGAGCTGAATTCCTACTCAAGCACGCCCGCCCACCTGGAATAAGCACATGTGGAGCGCACACTCTGGGAGCTCCAGACGGGTGCCTGGGAGTGAGCTGTGGGGCTGAGGGCAGGACCGAGCCCACCGCTGAGGGTGAGCAAGTTAGGCCAGATGTTCTGCTGCGGTGACAAGTCAGTCTGGTCCTAATCAGCCCCAGTTAACTCCCCGATGATTCACACACACACACACACACACACGCAGGGGTGAGAAATCGAGAAGATTCTTGTCAGTCATCCAAGAAGAGAGCTCCTCAATTGGATTCTTGGGCCCCACTGCTTCAGCTGACAGGAGCAAAGACAGTGCTACAGAATGTGCCCTTGGGGATGCTGATGCTGGGGGCAAGTGACCTGTTTATTCACGACTATTGTGAATGAATTCTGGTAACAAGTGAACACACCTGTCTTTTGTTGAGGTGCTAAAAAATAGTTTGCATAAAGTAACATAGTTTATCCCTGGTAGTGGCAGATAGTCAGCTGGGGGACAGACCTCATGAGGAACCATTCAACTGGGGAACAATGGGAATAGGCCCTCCCTGGTGGTGCAGTGGGTTAAAGCACAGAACTCTGAAGCTGGCCACAGCCGCCTCAACACGAGTTCAATTCCCAGTCAGGGAGCTGACCCACATGGCACAGGAGACCTCTCCTGATCTGCCGCTGCTCCCTTCAGCAGTGTCCTTCATCCCTCTGCCTGTTCTGCTCCCCGCTCTGTCTCTGGTGAATCCTCTCACTGCCCCTGCATCTCTGGCCTGCACCCCAGTTCTGTATGCATAAATAAATTTTTTTAAAAAAGGTGGGAATGATTGGAGTTCCATTTTATTTCCCCAACGGCTCTTTCACCTTTATATACTAGCTTGAAACGACTGTGAAAAAGCTAGAGGTCAAATACAATCTCTGAAATGTGCTCAGTTCCGTTTGATTGGCTGGAAGTTCATTTTCTTCACTGAGAGGGTGCTGCTAATTGGCCAGCCAAGATCCACATGCGGGGATGTGATGTCTTGGCAAACACTGACACATTCTATTTTTTTTCAATGAGTTGACATTTTGAAGTTCGGAGATGGCACATAAATATCTTAACTTGCCACTTGTCCTAAACTTGAAAGATCTGGCAACACCGGGCACTTGGGCTGGCCGTTCTGTGGAGTTGAAAAGCAAGTGCCTCCTCGGGACAGGGCC